TCACTCTACTGTTAATTTTGATGTTTCATGGGAAGTTAAAAAGGTGTCTTCAAAAACAAAAATTTTTAGGCGAGCAAACTTTGACAGGATGCGCTCATATCTAAGTGAAATAAAATGGGAGACACTCCTGGACTGTGAGTCTGTAAATGAGATGTGGGAAAGATTTAAGGGGGTTTTACTTGATTCACAATGCAAATTCATTCCAAAGGTGTCCAAAAGTAAGCTGAAAAAGCAGAATCCTCAGTGGATGACCACAGCTATTCGTAGGAGTTTGAGGGAAAAGAGGAATCTTTATATGATATACATAAAGGATAGCAAGGAGCACACTAAGGCTGAATACTGTAAAATGCGGGCTGTGGTCAAAAAAGAGCTGAAGAATGCTAGAAGACTGTATGAAAGACAAATTGCAGAGGGGGCAAAAACTAACCCTAAGTGCTTCTTTCAGTACTGTAGCAGAAAAAGGAAAGTCAAAGAGCAGGTTAAGTGCATAAAGAATAAAAATGGATCACTGCTATATGATAACAAGGATATTGCGGATACCTTTAACAGTTACTTTGTTGAGAATTTTACCTCAGAGCGGGTCTTTATTCGGCCAGAGGGCATGTCCAATGCTCAAGATTATTTAGCAGAAATTGAGGTTAGGGATAACTAAGTATTAGGCAAGTTGCATAAACTAAAGGCAGATAAGGCGGCGGGTCCTGATGGCTTATATCCTAGAGTGCTCAGGGAAGTTAGTGAGATCATCTGTAAACCACTCTCAGCTATCTTCAGTCAGTCTTTAGAAACTGGCGAAATACCAAATGATTGGAAGCAGGGCAAGGTAATACCAATATATAAGACAGGGGATCGTACTGAGCCAGGAAATTACAGGTCAGTCAGTTTAACTTGCATTGCGTGCAAAATATTGGAATCTATCATAAAAGATGAGCTGGACTTATTTCTTGAGCGTAACAATATCTTGAGGGATAGCCAACATGGTTTCCGTAAGGGAAGGTCATGCCTGACAAACCTTCTGGAATTCTTTGAAGAGGCCACCAAGACTTATGACCAGAGCAGGGCTTATGACATCATATACTTGGATTTTCAGCGAGCATGTGATACAGTACCACATAAGAGACTAATTTTTAAAATGAGCTCCATTGGAGTTACAGGAGGTATTCTGAAGTGGATTCAAAACTGGTTACAGGACAGGACACAAAGAGTGGTGGTCAGTGGTATCTCATTTGAGCTAGGTATGGTGGGCAGTGGAGTCCCTCAGGGATCGGTGTGGGACATCTGCCGTTCCTCATCTACATTAATGACCTTGATAGGAATATTGAGAGCAGATAAGTTAAATTTGCAGATGATACTAAATTGGGAGGTTTGGCAAATAGTTTAGAGTCCACTAAAGTGATTCAGGATGATTTGGATAGAATCCAGAACTGGGCAGAAATGTGGCAAATGAAATTTAATGTAGCGAAATGTCAAGTTGTACATGTAGGTAATAAAAACATAAGACGGGATTACTTCATGCGAGGTTTAAAACTGGAATGTGCTCCACATGAAAAAGATCTGGGAGTGATTCTTGACCAAACCCTCACAGGCTCTAGCCATTGTGCTGTAGCAGTTAAAAAAGCCAATCGGATGCTGGGATACATTGCCAAAAGTATTGAGTTCAAATCCAAGGAGGTGATGCTTCTTTTGTACAAAACATTCGTCAGACCACATCTGGAGTATTGTGTACAGTTCTGGGGACCATTCTTTAAGGAAGATATTGAGGCCCTAGAAAAAGTTCAGAGAAGAGCCACTAAGCTAATTCCGGGTATAAAAGATGAAAGCTATCAGAAGAGGCTGAAGATCCTTAATCTCTTTAGTCTTAGGAAAAGGAGACTAAGGGGTGATCTGATTGAGGTCTTTAAATATGTTTAAGGAATTATGTGAATTAAGTGAATTATGTGGGATTCCTTCGACCAAGTGTTGTTAGTAGAACTCGGGGTCACAAATGGAAGCTGACCAAAGATAAATTTAACACTAATATTCGGAAATATTTCTTCACCCAAAGAGTAATTTCGATGTGGAATAGCTTGCCTGACCATATTGTTGAGGCAGAGACCATGGGAGTTTTCAAGAGCAGGCTTGACTTTAAGCTAGATACCATTGAGTCATTGAGTATCTGAAGTGACATATTCACAATAGTATAAAGAAACTGGCGAGCCTAGTTGGGCTGAACGGCCTGTTTTCGCCATTCATGTTATGTTATCTTTAGCCTCTTCTCATAGCTGTCATTTTTTATACCTGGAATTAGCATAGTGGCTCTTCTCTGAACTGTTTCTCGGGTCTCTACACCAGGGGTCCCCAGTCTTTCCCAGAAAGGGCCAGTGTGGGTGCAGGCTTTCATTGCAACCAAGCCGCTACACACCTGATGCTACTAATCAAGCTTATTAGCAAAGAGTCCAGGGGTTGATTTGTAGTATCAGGTGTGTAATTGCTTGGTTGCAATGAAACCCTGCACCTACACTGGCCCTTTCTGGGAAAGACTGGGGACCCCTGCTCTACACCTTTCCTTAAGTATGGTCCCCAGAACTGTGCACAAAACTCTAGATGAGGTCTGACAAATGTGCTGTACAAGAGAAGTATGACCTCCTTGGATTTATGCTCAATACTTTTGGCTCTATATCCCAGCATCCTGTTGGACTTACTAACTGCTATGGCACAATGGCTAGAACCTGTAAGGGTTTGGTGAACAATCACTCCCAGATCTTTTTCATATGGAGCATATTCCAGTTTTATCCTCCCATGAAGTCATCCTGTCTAATGTTTTTATTACCAACATGTAGAACTTTACATTTCGCTACATTAAATTTCATTTGCAACATTTTTGCCCAATTCTGGATTCAATCTATATCATCCTGCATTACTTTTGTGGACTCTAAACTGTTCGCCAAACCTCCCAATTTAGTATCATCCGTAAATTTAACTAATTTGCTTTCAGTATTCCTATCATGGTCATTGATGTAGATGAGGAAGAGCAAGGGTCCCAACACCGATCCCTGAGGGACTCCACTCCCCACTTTACCTAGCTCAGATGAGATTCCACTGGCCACCACTCTTTGTGTTTTGTCCTGTAACCAGTTTCAAAGCCACTCCAGAATACCTCCTGTAACTCCAACAGAGCTCATTTTAAAAATTAGTCTCTCATGTATTACTGTATCAAATGCTTTTTGAAAATCCAAATACATGATGTCATAAGCCATGCTTTGATTATAAGTCTTGGTGGCCTCTTCAAAGAATTCCAGATGGTTTGTCAAGCATGACCTTCCCCTACAGAAACCATGTTGGCTATCCCTCAAGATATTATTACGCTCAAGAAATGATTCCAGCACGCCTTTAATGATATATTCCAGTATTTTGCATGCAATGTAAGTTAAACTGACTGACCTGTAATTTCCTGGCTCAGTACGATCCCCTGTCTTATATATTGGTATTACATTGCCCTGCTTCCAATCATTTGGTATTTCGCCAGTTTCTAAAGACTGACTGAAGATAGCTGAGAGTGGTTTACAGATAATCTCACTAACTTCCCTGAGCACTCTAGGGTACAAGCCATCAGACCCGCCGTCTTATCTGTCTTTAGTTTATGCAACTTATCTAATACTTCATTATCCCTGACCTCAATTTCTGCACAGTAATCTTGAGCATTGGAAATGCCCTCTGTCCTAATAAAAATCTGCTCTGAGGTAAAATTCTCAACAAACTATTTAAGGAAGCAGCAATATCCTTATTCTCACACAGCAGTGATCCATCTTTATTCTTTGTACACTTAACCTCCTCTTTGACTTTTCTTTTTTTATTACAGTACTGAGAAAGGCGCTTAGAATTAGTTTTTTTCCCCTTCCGCAATTTACCTTTCATACAGTCTTCTAGCATTCCACAACTCTTTTTTTGACCACAGCTCGCATTTTACAGTGTTTGGCCTTAGTATTCTCATTGCTGTCCTTTATGTACATCTTATAAAGATTCCTCTTTTCCCTCAAATTCTTACAAATAGCTGTGGTCATCCACTGAGGATTCTGCTTTTTCATTTTACTTTTGGACACCTTTGGAATGAATTTGCATTGTGCACCAAGTAAAACCCCCTTGAATCTATCCCACGTCTCATTTACAGACTTACAACCAAGGAGTGTCTCCCATTTTATTTTGCTTAGATATGAGCGCATCCTGTCAAAGTTTGCTCGCCTAAATTTTAAAATTTTGTTTTTTGAAGATAACTTTTTAACTTGTCATGAAACATAAACTAACAGTAGAATGATCACTAGTCACAAGTGACTCCAATACCTCTACATTGCCAATTCTATCAGGGTCATTACAGAGCACGAAATCTAAAATTACCTTCTCTCTTGTAGGTTTACTAACATACTGCACCAAAAAATTGTCATTTATAGCATCTAGAAATTCTTCCACCCCTTTACCCTGTCCTTTCACCATTTCCCAATCGATACCAGGATAATTTAAGTCTCCCATAATAATAGTCCCTCTTCCTCTACAAGCTTGCCTAATCCTCTTGAACAGCATTTCATTTACACTACTGTCCGAAGCTGGCAGTCGACAGCAAACACCATTGTTTAAACATGTCTTGTGTTTGCCAATGAGCCTGACCCAGATATCTTCACATGGCAAGAAATGTTCAACTTCAGGAATTTCCTGCACATTAATGTTTTCGTTCACAGAAAGTGCTGCGCCCCCTCCTCTCCTATTAGATCTATCCTTGTTTAAGAGCTTATAACCTTCTATATTATATTCGTCTCCATCTTCTTCAGAAAGCCATGTCTCTGTAATCCCAACTATGTTAAAGCCCTCACAAATCATAACGGCCTCAAGTTCTGGAAATTTATTTCTTATGCCTCTGGTATTTTAATAAAAACATTCCAGGCTATTACGACTGCACTTACCCCTCAGTTTCCTAGCTAGCTTCTGCTCCAAGCCCCTCACTACGGATTGCTGCTTGAAAAAGATTTCATAGAGCTGCCGGATAGCTCACTCGGTTAAAGCATGGCATTGCAAAGCAGAAGTGACTATCATGGCATGGGTTCGAGCCCCAGTCGTACCATCCGGCAGTGGTCGGCAGCTTTTTCAGAAGTAGCGCGCAATTGACCAGTGCGCTACAGGGATGCAAATTGGGAAGGGTCTGCCGGGAAGGGTAATAAAGGTTGCTTTGTTCAATCCTTAGGCGCCTCTTGTTGGCCAGACGGGTACTCGTCAGAAAGATTCTAAGCTTGTTCATGTTCGGGTATCCTCCGCCCTCGCTTTGAACTTGCGATGATTCAACCAATGAGTGTATGAGAAGCGGTGGCTGACAGGTGCGTGCTTCGGAGGAGAGCTGCGAGCTGTCTTCACTCTCCTGAGTTGGCAACAGGGGGTCGCATATGCGAAAGCCTTGTACATAGTTCCCCAATTGGACATTCCAGGTTCGGGTAGGATTCATCAATAGTGCAAGATTTCATCAATAGTGCATGTCGTGCTGTCAGCTTCCATCAGGGCAGTCTGCTTTTCCCTATTTATAATACTCTCACTAACCTCCCTGCCCCCCAAGTCTCTAGTTTAAATAACCCTGTGCCACCCTCAACATACGCTGACCCAATACAAAGGTAGCCCTCCGGTTCAGGTGTAGCCCATCCGGCTTGAACAGATCACCCCTGTCCCAGAAGAAGTTCCAGTGCCCCATAAAGCTGAACCCCTCTTTCCTACACCAGGTTCGTAGCCACATGTTAAACTTCCAGATAAAATTCTGCTTCCCTCTGCTTGCACGTGGTCCCGGTAGAATCCCGGAGAACACTACCGTGGAGAATCTGCCCCAAAGCTTTTCAGCTAATTCCACAAATTTGTCTTGCAGAACCTCAAACCTACCCTTACCAATAGACCAACATAGACTATGACCACTGGATCCCTCCCCGCTCTGGCCAGGAGCTTGTCCGCACGCTCCAGGAGGTCTCCTACCTGGGCACCAGGCAAGCAACACACCATACAAGACTCCTTGTCACGCAAACAGACTATGCTGTCTATCCCTCTAATAATTGAGTCCCCCACTATTACTAACTCTCTTTTCTTGGGGGAAGAGGCCAACAGGGTGCCCTGAGGCTCATCAATCCCCCCACTCTCAGGGTCTGGGGCTAAGTCGAGTTCCTGCAGGGGCCGGAATCGATTGGGCACCTCAACTTTTGGAGAAGCTTTTGCTGTATGGTGTGAATGCCCTTTCTTGCGCTGACACCTACAGTCACCCAACTTTCTCTCCTTGCCTGCTCTGGGGCCTCCCCGCTACCCTGCTGTGGCAAAAACACCATTTCTCTAAATGACATACTACTCAGTTCTTCTCAGAACTCTACCGATGACGTGCTGCCAACTGGCCCTGAAGATCAAGGATCTTGCTCTCCAGATTCTCAATGAGTTGTAGTGGTTCGAGAGAACGATCTCGGAATGCGTGCAATTCCCAATCTAAAAGAAAGAGGACATAAGAACCTAAACTACTAAATGTTCACGCAGCACATACAACTGCGGAACACAGCCCAAAATGAATGACTGAATACTCCTAGGGAAAGAAGCTCCGACTTTCGAGCAAGCTAGAAGTAAAACAAACTTTCCAAAAGCTAACGAACTAACTGGCAAAAGTAGATCGCAACACTAGTCTAAAAGACCTCTGTTACCAGCGCCGTGTATAGATGACACTAACGCAAAGAGGTGGCGGAATCTTGGGTAATTTATAGGATTCACGCACCTGATATTAATCTGCAATTAACCTGAGAGGCAGCGAGGTAGTCACGAGTGCTGTGGAAGAAGACGAGTAGCCGATTAGCCAAACATACGTCGTTAGCATACCAAGCACCATGGTAAAATGTTCCAAACAACCAAGTGATTAACAAAATCGGAATCTGATGCAGATAGGGTTTTCTCTTGAAAAGGCAAGGGTGTGCCCACCTAAGAGCTGAAAAACAGCTCAGGTGAAGGCAGAAAGAGACCTGATACATGACATGAGTTGGCACCGGAGCCGACAAACCCACCCTGGAAATCTCTTTCCAGAGGTGCGATCATCCTGCAACCGTCACATAGTTTTGGGCACATTTTGGACCCCCTACCTATTGACCTATCTCACCCTAGATAACAAAGAAAATTATTATTTTCTAGACAGAAACACAGGAACCACAATTTATTAACCTGAGCAGCAGTCACAATAGAAACCATGGGGAGACTAAGTAAATGGATTATAATCCTCTTTTAGCAGGGGCTTAGTTCCAGTTAACAAAAATGAAATAACAACTAGATACAAACACGATTTGTAATAAGCACTCAGACGGCTGACTTGATTTATATAGTCCCAGTGCTATGAATTTACCAGTCTGACAATATCACAGTGCTTGGCTCTGAATCCAGATAATCACAAACTAGCTCTTCTAGATACTGTTCTCAGACGTGAGCCTCTAATACCCATCTATGCGATGAACAGGAAATGCCAATTACCACTACAATAATGCCTGCGGTAGCTGACTAGCTACTCTCAAGCAGCTAAAATGGTGAGGAGAAACTGGAGGGGGGGCAAAGCACTCCAGTAAACCTTACTCCTTAATAATTACAACCTTATCGAGTCGACAACTCACATAACTGTTGCCCTGCCAACTAAATACTAAATCCCAGATCCCAAGTCAAAAATACAACTTTCTAGCTAGCTAGTCACAAACAGGTAGTGCAACCAAAGGGCCAGGTCACGCGGTAACGGAGTTACAAAATTGGTGTATTTTGTATCATGGCTCCAAAACTAAGTAAGATAGAGTAACAATTTAAATGGCTTTGTGTAGGTCTTCCCTCATACCAAAATAAATCAAATGAACAAAATGAACTATTTTGTTTTTTGAAGTATGAGGGAAGACCTACACAAAGCCATTTAAATTGTTACTCTATCTTACTTAATTTTGGAGCTATGATACAAATTAGACCAGTTTTACCGCGTGACCTGGCCCCAAAAGAAACCAAAAAAAGAGTAAAACCCCAGTAAACTTTAATTAATTCAAACGGGCCAAATGAACAACTCGTTTACCATGACAGCTAACTAAACATGGTATCCCCCGAAAGGTTGTAACTAAGCAGTCAAACACGCAACTAAACTTTAAAGAGCTGATTAAGGCACAGTGACCAGAGGAAAATCCTAAAATAATGTGTTTACATGTAAGAGCCCTTCGGTAAAAAGGAGATCCCGAAAAAGAGTAAAACCCCGGTTAATGTTAATATTTAATTCCAACGGGCTGGGTGAATGTCCCGCTTCCAACACAAGCTAACTAAACACAACTTGACTTTGATAAGCTGATCCAGGCACAGCGACCAGAAGGGAACACTAAATAGCTAACTTGGCAATATGTTTATGCGGTAAAAAAGAGACCAAAAAGGAATAAAACGTCAATATTTATTGGCTTGAAGACTGTCTGAGAGGCAAGCATCCACGTATGAAACCAACCCAAGTTTTAACTAGATCCAAGTAATTCCATAATGTTTCTTAGCGCTGAAAAGCTAGCTGACGTTTGTTAGCTAAATTAGCTACAGAAAAACCAAGCAAGAGTAGCATAGTCCTTGAAAATAACTCAGTTTTTGTATTAACTTTGTATATAATACAATTTACTTAGCTAGTTATTTTGCATTTAAGTTTATTTCACTTTGCTCCCTGGAAACCGAAACCCCACCCAAAAAACACCATATCACGTTTAAATGATCAGATTAGGACTTAATTCGACTATTTGCTCACCGAATTGTTACAAGGGGAAAAAATGGTTGGGAACTATCTCCCTGCCCACACGGCAACTAAGGTTATGCCTCGGGAGCAAATGGTCTTACTTCTTTTAATGATTGAGCTATTACACACATTCTGATCAGCAAAACCCCTTGAAACAAGAGTAAATCTTCTGCTACGATTCCCTTCGCCTGTCTCTGTCTCAACCCAAGCAGAATGATCACTGAGGAACAGTGCCACAGCACAGCCAAGAGGTCAGCAACAGCAACAGCAATGGTGATCCAGGGAAATGCTACACACTGGAGCCCAATCCACATGTCGGAAAAATTTTATATATTTGTAAAATCAAATATGACTTTAGACTTTTCATTGATTTAAACTGGTTGACCTGAACTGGATTTGACAAACAAAGTGCAAAAAGTAGACACAATAAACAGAATATTGATGCCTGCTCACACAGTAAATTTTATTAGCCAAGGCTCTTTAGAACTTTGTGTAGCTTAAAAAATGCTCCATAAATCAGATTTTCAATAAAATGACCCTCCTTCAGCCTGGAGGGTATTAGCGAAAATCCATAACATCAACTGCTAGGCCCTCTGTGACTTGGTACGGAAAAGCTCAAATGTTACTTTCACTCTTAATTCCATTGCCAACCAGGGACAATGGAATAAGTTCGATAACAATGATAATGGACAGTAACAGACAATTGGGAAGCTCACGCATTTTCATTTTATAAATCTGACATGCAAAAAGGACTGTATCTGCCTCTTCTTTGTGTGTTTTGCTGTCACCATGATCAAAAATCTTTTAAGTTCTTGTTAAAAAAAAAAACAAAATATTTGTGTAGAAACAAGATCCCTTATTAAATCTTAATAAGATCATTTTGTTTCAATGATGTTTTTATGACGTTTTTCGGTATTACTGCATACTGAAACATTCTGTTTTAACTAGAAACTTATTTCCTCATAACATCAGCATATATCTTTCAAACACTAGCTGCCAGGGTTAGAGTAAATCTTGCAAGAATTTATTACGTAACATGCAACGGACAGTTCTGCTCTGCTTCCCTTCTCCCCTTTCCAGTGAAATATTGCCTGTTTCCTGTCTCCCCATCCCCATTTGTCCTCATCATTGTCCAGTCCTCTCCTTCCCCTTCTTTCCTCATGTCTTTGAGGCAACCTCAGGCAGTTGGTTTTCTCCACTTCTGGAGCTGGATTCTGCCCGTGGATTCTTACTATTAGTCAGTTTTTCCTTGCGACTGTCACCTTTGGCTTGCTCCTTGGGGCTTGAGGCCCTGTTTTTGAAAAGCACTTTGGATCAATCACTATGCTGAAAAGCTC